TCTATGAACTTCAGTAATATCAGTATGAGAGCTTGCTTGTTTATGTAAGTGGAGATTTTATATGTGTGAATGCATAAGTGTACCCAGGAAGGATAGCTGAAGCCAAAGCTGATGAGGAGGAAACAAACTAACACAGAGACAGTGAAAATCAAGCCCCCACCACATTGGATGGTATTCCTAATAAACTGGCTTAATGTATTTTAAAAGAAGTTTGCCTCTTCCTCAGGTCAAGCTGTCCACACGTCCTCCTGAACCAGTCATCCCAGCTAAGAAGCCTTTCAAGGTGGAGCTGGTTGGTGGGAAGCGTTACTCGTGGTGCACCTGTGGGCACAGCAGGAAGCAGGTGAATCCCTACACCAGGGGTGCCCAACTCCAGGTCCTGCAGCTTTTAGATGCATCCTTGTTGCGACACACCTGAATCAAATGATTGGCTTGTTACCAGGCTGTTGCCAAACGTGATAGCATGCTGAAGAGGTAATCCAATAATTTGATCCAGCTTTGTTGGAGTAGGGATGCATCTAAAAGCTACAAGACAGAAGCTCTCACGGACTGGAGTTGGACACCCCTGCCCTACACAATCATTCGCTTTCTTTTGTTGGTCAAATTCAGGGTTCACGCTGGAGCCTATGGCAGCTTCACGGGTGTTTTATTCAGTCATTATCTCAGCATCGTAAACATAAATGTTGCTTTGTTTTTTGTTTAATAAATTAAGAAAAAATAAATTATAACATTTTAAAGAGTAAAGTTTCAGATTATTTTCAGATCTATTGGTTTCATAATTCCAAAACAATCCGATCCATTTATAACGCTGAAAGCTTTTTTCTGTAGCATATAAAAATTTAAAACAGTTTTACACATTACACATTGTTTCTTGTCTAAATGAGCGTTCCAGCATTATTTCTGATTTCTTTCAGCCTTTCTGTGATGGAAGCCACAAAACCCGAGCCCAGGGCCTCTCCCCGCTACGCTTCGTCCCAGAGAAAGACGCCTCGGTTTGGTTGTGTGGATGCAAACACACAAGCAACCCGCCCTACTGTGACGGCACGCACAAGCAGGACTTCATTGCGTCTGCTCCGCTACACGAACCAGCAGAGTCCTGAGGGTGGAGGGGGGTGCGTTTCCCGTCAGTGTTTTCATCAGTTCGACTTTCATGACAAAGACACTGTTGCAGTCACATTAGGATGACTTTACGGTAAAACAGCGAGCAGTTTATACTGGGGGTATTTAGCGAATCGAAGATTCCTGCGGCAAACAACCCGGCAGGCGCTCCATGAAGAAGTTGGGATGCAGTGCTACGCTGGCCTTGATTTTGAAGCTCCAGTTTTATGTCCATGAGATGAGATTAGAGTTGGTGGCAGGCTGTGACAGTCATTAGCCCACACTG